AAAAATCAAATGCCTGGCAACCCCATGTGAGACATTAACAAAACATTGTGAATATTTATTCTTGCAACCAGGTAATAGATTTTCTTTTCATGAATATTCTTGCTAACGGATCTCATTTGATCAATTATCTGCAAATAAAAGTTACATACACATACAAACACATACCAGTGAAGCAAATAAGTTAGCAAAAATTACAGAAACTAAAATTAATACTTTTTTTGGCTTCACTTTCCCCGAAACATTAGACTATGTTGTTGCCTATATATAATCCTTTACTTCTATCCTATTTGCAGGTCAACACAAGGCACTCCGGGCAACCAACACTCAAGACCTTCTACTGCTTATTCAGACCCGTACCAAAAAAACATAGCAATAACTCATGAATATGTCAGCTATCCACCACATCTTAATCCCCAGAAAGAGACCTTTTCAGAGAAATGTAACAAGCTATGCACGAGGAGAGGTATGTGGATTTTTATTTTACTTACCACCCTTGTGTCTCTCTAGAGATGTGTCCCCTTGTTTCATTAACACAAACTTAGACAAAGGGTCAAAAGAGGCAGGGGACTGAATAACAAAGTCCAGAGATTCATGAATGGCAAAAAACTACAGCTTAGTTATTAGTCGTAAAATGTCTACAGGCCAGGTTTACAGATATGACTGAAGATACAAATAGGCTCTTAGAGTCATAAAAGCACCTGTGTTAAATAGTAATTGCCCACTGACTTTCTAGGTTGCTTAGAGGCTTTTGTAAATTCTTCTACGCACCTGTTTGCATTTCTAGGCCCCTAAGCCTTTATGTAACTTCAGAATTTTGCATTAAGGAATCACTCAGTCATTGAGATGAGAGTAGGGTTGTCAGGTGTCCAGCTTTTGACCGCACCGCCCAGACAAAATGGGACCCTGGTAGCTCCAGTCAGGATGCCTGACCAGGCCATTAAAAGTTTGGTTGATGTGGGGATGGCAGGATCCCTACCCAGAAGCAGCAACATGTTCCTCACCTTCTAGACTCAAGGGCTGTGTGACGGATCCCCCTCCCCCATACTTTTGGGAATGGATTTACGGACATGAATATACATACCTCAGAAGTGTTTTGAGCAAATCATTTCGTGTAACCCATCAGTCTTCATGTCACAATCCACTGGTTCTCTTTATCTTACTCTGTTGTAGGTATCATTTGTGTGTATAAAATTAGACACGTGGTGTGGGGAATACTTTGTGGCTTTCAAATGTGTGAATGAGACACATGGAGGGTGTTACCCTCAACTGTTAAATTATCTCTTTTGTCCTTCAGCCTGAGCAGTGGTTGGTAGGGAGTGGCCTCAATCCACTTCTTTTCCAGCTGCCAGTCTAAACCAGGTCTCTCTTCCCCACCCTGGGGTCTCAGGCTCCTTCCTTCAGGTGCAGCCCAGCCACTCTCTATGTCTCTCATTCACACATTTGAAACCCACAAAGTATTCCCCACGCCACGTGTCTAATTTTACACACACAAATGATACTCTGTTGTATGTAAGATAAAGAGAAACAGTGAATTGTGACATGAAGACTGATGGGTTACACAAAATGATTTGCTCAAAACACTTTTGAGATATGTATATTCATGTCCATAAGTCCATTTCCAAAAGCATGGTGGGAGGTCCGTCACAGGCAGTGTGCAGTCATAGGGGCTCGGGCTCTGCCCCTGCCCCAGGCACTGGCTCCGCAGCCCCGATTGGCCAGGAGAACAAGCAACAGAGGGAGGGAGTGGAATGTGCAGAGGGTAGGGCCTCAGGTGCTCAGTTTTGTACAATTAGAAAGCTGGCAACCTTAGATGAGAGAGCCAGAGCAAGCCTGAGTGACTCTACTGCCTTGGAGGTGGGAGACCTAGGGCCCAGACTCCCTACTCCAGTGACTTACGTATTTATTCATAGTGGAATAGCTTCATCAAGAGAGATTGAGGGAGCAACATGCTGGACTATCCTACAGATCAGTGGTCTAGGCACTCACCTTCTCCCCTCAGGTATGGTAGGGGTCCTTGAACTGGTGACCTTTTTGCCTAGTGGTTAGGCCAAAGGTTGTGAGGGAGGGGTACTTCCTTGTCTTCTTTTCCCCCTCAAGCTTTTTTGTTAAATGGTATTAGGTGCTTAACACCAAGACAGGTTTTTGCAGCTCAATCTCAAGTAGTTAGGCACTTCCCTGCACTGAGGATTTAAGGTATGTCTACACTACCAAGTTTTGTTAAAAAAAACAAAAACAAAACAAACCCAGCAACTTATGTTGACACACAAGTCAACAAAACAAAAATCGCCAGAGAATGCTCTCGCTTGCTCCCCCGTTTAGGTGCTTAACACCAAGACAGGTTTTTGCAGCTCAATCTCAAGTAGTTAGGCACTTCCCTGCACTGAGGATTTAAGGTATGTCTACACTACCAAGTTTTGTTAAAAAAAACAAAAACAAAACAAACCCAGCAACTTATGTTGACACACAAGTCAACAAAACAAAAATCGCCAGAGAATGCTCTCGCTTGCTCCCCCGTTAATAAATTAGGCTTGTGCCACTGGGGGGGGGGGGGGGCACCATCATTGCTAGTGTGCAAAGTTGTGCCACGTTGTGGGAAGGCAAAGCCGATCCCTGTACATCTTGGGATTCCCCCTCAGTTCTCCCACAGTCTCTTCAACTGCCATCATGAGTAGCTCTCCATGTTGAGGAATGAAAAAGCAGCAAAGCAACATGTCTCTTCCCCCTGAATCAGCAATCTGCCTGTTGCTGTGTTCCCAGTGCAGGGCAGAAGAGAAGCACTCCAATGGTTTGCTCTTCTTTTGTTCACAAATAAAGCAGCTCACTCAGCTGTCAGACAATTCCTGGTGCTTTGAAAAGAGAGGGACACAGCTGCATGGCAGCTGTGTCAAACCTGAGCAGAGCCATCAAAAGGCAGGCAGGCATTTTGGGATACTGGTGGAAGCCAGTTCTGTTGACGAAACAAACAGCAGAGTCTATCTTGAGTCTTTGTTGACAATAAAGGGAGGAGAAAAAAGTCTTTCAGAGGGGTGGAAGCTTGTGTCAGT